GACCGGCTGGTTGCGACTGGGCCGGCAATTCAGTTCTTTCGCTGGTACTGTCCCTATGGCTACCATTACCCGGTGGTGGTGGTGTTGGTGTTGCCTCTCTCTTGACTGCCTCAGTCTTTGTGCCCTTGAGATCAACTGTTTGTTCAGTCACATGAGTTTCTGTTCTTCCTCTTCCTCTCTCGAGCTCCGAAACGCTGTTATGCAATACATCACCGTGTGACACACGTACACCAGAAATCTGCTCGTCTGTTACTTCTTTTACAGTTTTAGTGCATTCAGCTTCATCATCCGTGGTAGTGCAATCATTTGTCCGACGATCTTCAGGAAGCTGATTCTTTTGTACTTTTTTGGCAGTGTCACTGCATTCAGGTTTACCAGCCTTCACAGTGCACTCCTCTGTCTCAGGAACATCAACACGAGCAGCAGAAGGAGCACACCCTGCAGCAGCATCATCAGCAGAAGCAGGAGGAGTGCATTCACGAGGAGAAGGCTTGGAAGAAAGAGTAACTTCAGCCGTCCCACACACAGAGGGTACACTTAGAAACAAATCCAAAGCACACAACAGAAAGCGCAGTAGCATCGCAATAAGAGTTATTCTGCCTGCTGTCGACCTCTGAACCTGAAGAAAGAATAAAAAAAAACAATAAAACAAGGACGCACGGAATAAGATAACACAACAAATAGCATCAGCCAAACAAAACATTAACACCCAAATCAACAATAAAGAGTACAATAAATAGGAACATCACATACCAACTGTCTCAGAAATCCAGAGAAAACAAATAACGGCATCATCAAACAGAGACTTCAGAGAATTACGGATGTGCTTAAAGATCATTTGTAATAATACATATACGTGTGTACGACTGATATTATGCTTTCGTTCTACACTAAGCAGGCTACAATAACAATAAAGGTGCAAACACACAAAAGCACAAACAAAACATAAGCAAAAAACAGTTATTAACTATTAGCCCAATTTACGCAGTAAACATAGAAATACACACCAACTATGGGTGTAAGTCTATATGTCTGTATAAGCAATTATAAATATAAATTCATCTGTTATTATCATTTCCTTTTTTCCCACTACAAAAAGCAGTTCATCATCATAACCACAGTGCAAGCCCAGGTGCACACACAGAGAGAGTCTCCAATAACACACACACACACAATGGAGTAGTAGCAATAATAATAATTATAGGATAAACACAGAGAGAGCAAAAACACACACAAAACACATTAACATTAAAAGAAACAAAAAAGAAGATAAATCCCAAGAGGTGAAATATTAGTTAGACTGTAGGGATGTATGCAAAAAAGAAAAAAAAACAAAGGATGACCTGAGTCACACCACCACCATTACAATCAGCACACAAGAATACAGGCCAGTGTAACCACAATCAGTAGTGGTACACGCACCCACACAGAACTGCTGATACTGCTGCTGCTGTCTGCATCACCCTTCTTGTTGTTTGTGAGTTCAGGAGGAAGTGTTGTGGTTGTTGTTGTGGTGGTGGTGGTATCTGTATTATCTGCAGCACCTTCTTGGTTACTTGGTGATTCACTTTCTTCAGGTTTACTGACATTCGCAGCCGTTGTAGTATCATTTCCAGCAGCAGTTTCTCCGTCACTCCCTGTTGCTGAATTGTTGGGTGAAGGAGTAGTTGGTTGTGCTGCATCACCTCACAGGTTAGCTCCACTCTCTTCTGTTGTATTGCCGCCGCTTTGTTCATCTTGTGGGCCACTTTGAGATGCATCCCCACTCTCCAGAGTAGTAGATTGAGATGGAGGAGATACATTAGGAAGAGCAGAAGAAGACCCAGGATCATCACCAGTATGAGTACCAGAACCCTGCCTAGGGCCAGCTTCACCTAATTCACCGGCAACACCAGCAGGAGCCTGTTCAGCTCTTTCACCAGCTGGTTCCTTTGGTGAACAAGAAGATTTAGAACTAGGAGTGCAATGCTCTTGAGTCTCACGATCTTTGTTTACACAACTGTCTGTCCCTGCAGGTTGCGCACACGCAGAAGTAGCAGTTTCAGGTCGCTCAGGGTTAATATTGCACTGTGGACCAGTGTTGCCTTCAGGGCAACCATCATTCCCAGGAAGAGGTTTAAGTGGTGTTTGTGTTAAGGGATCGGGATGACGAAGACTTTCTGCCTCTTTAGTCTCTTCAGACGCCACACACACGCAGGCAACACTCAAAAGCAATGCCATAAAAAACAACAGTCGTCGCAGCAACATCATGCAAAAAAGTTACCTGAATCGTTCAATTTAACCAAAACTCAAAGAAAAAAGAAGAGAACCAAATAAAAGATAAATTATATACATACAAGAACAGAAAAGGGAAAACGCAGAAAAAGAAAAATAAAACTTGGGTAACTCGCACACAAGGCAACGTGCAGAAAGATTAAAGAGCCCAACAAAGAACACAATGCCCAGCACGGAAAAAAGATAATCCCATTTAACCCCTCAAAACCGAAAAAGCATTGAGAGAACGATTATCAGAAGCACAAAGCACAGAAATACAGAAGATTTTCACTTTCGGTCGAACCACCGTACACAATTATAAATATATGTGTATTTCTTATTATTGTTTTTCCGCACAAAACAATCCAACAGCAAAGTGAAGGACAAAACACACAACACCCAAAAAAAGAAAAAGAAACAAAAAACTGAGAGAAGCGTCAAGTGCACAACAATATCACACAACTCTAGATATGCTGGTGTGTGTATGCAATTAAGAATACATATATATCACTTAATACTTTTTTCATTTCTCTGCAAAGAACAACAAAGGGAACCACAAAGAAAGCAAACAGATATTAACCATTAGCCCAATTTACACAGTAAACACAGAAATACACCAACTATGGGTGTAAGTCTATATATGTGTATATATACGCAATTATAAATATAAATTCATCTGTTATTATAATTTCCTTTCACTACAAAAAACCGTTCATCATCATTATCACAGTACAAGCCCAGGCACACACACAGAGAGTCTCCAAGAACACACACACACAATGGAGTAGCTGGAATAATAATTATTATAGGTTAAACACACAGAGAGTAAAAAACACACACAAAACACATTAACATAAAGAAACAAAAAAGAAAAGAAGATAATCCCAACAGTTGGAAGATTAGTTAGACTGTAGGGATGCATGCAAAAAAGAAAAAAGGAAAAGAAAACAAAGGATGACCTGAGTCACACCACCACCATTAGCACAATCAGCACACAAGAATACAGGCCAATGTAACCACAATCAGTAGTGGTACACGCACCCACACAGAACTGCTGATACTGCTGCTACTGTCTGCATCACCCTTCTTGTTGTTTATGGGTTCAGGAGGAAGTGTTGTGGTGGTGGTGGTGGTGGTGGTTGAGTTTGATTGCTCATCGGTTGTAGTGTCAGTTTCCTTCGTTGACTCATCCTCTCCAGGTTTCGTCTCAGCTGTACCGTTATTTAATTGAGAGTCCTTTGTAGGTGTAACCGCATTCGTAGCATCCCCATTCTCACGGTTTGGGACACTTTCTGATGTTGGCTCAGTAGATGAACGAATAGTTGTGGGTGTCGCCTCAGACAGCTGTGACGAAGATGTACCATGGGATTCGTCAGTAGTGGTATTTTGTCGTCCTTCATTTTCTTCGTTATGCGTGGTGTCAACGTGATCGTTGGGTTGATGAGAGGCTTTTGTGTCGATCGTCTCTACGTGTGAATCAGAGTTCTGTCGTGTCTCAGTTTGACTTATACTGGATGCAATAGAAGATTGTTGTTGTACTCCTGGAACTTGACTTTGACCGTCTCCTTGAGGTTGTTCTTTTTGTGGTGATGGAGGTGATGGCAGTGTTCCAGTACTAACTTTTTCTCCCACTCCACTTCCACCAACACCAGTACCACCAGTACCAAGTGCAGCTTCTCCTTCTCCAGGACGAACAACAGTCTGTTCTTCAAGCGTATCAGCTCCCTTTGGATCTTTTGGTGCTGATTGTGGACAAGTTTCAGAATCTTCACGGCAATCGGCTTTACGGTCAAGATCCTCGGCAGGGCATTTCTCCTTGCCAGGAGGTTGCGCACAGTCTGTACTAGCAGCTGCAGCTACGCCAGTTTTATTTTGACACTTTAAACCCTCCTTGCCTGAAGCACGACAACCACCATCAACAGTAGATAGATCTTCTTCCGCTCCAGTCTCTCCAGCCGCCACACACACGCAGGCAACACTCAAAAACAGTGCTGTAAGGTACAGTAGTCGTCGCAGCAACATCATGGAAAGAAGTTACTTGAATAGTTCAATGTAACCAAACCTCAAAGCAAAAAAGTTTAAGAAAACCAATAAAGAATAAATAAATAAACACAAAAACAGAAGGGAAAACCGAGAAAACGGAAAAAACGGAAAAAACAAAACCTAGCAAAATCACAACACAAGGCAACGCGCACAAAGATTAAAGAGCCCAACAAAGAACACAATGCCCAGCACGGAAAAAAGATAATCCCAATTAACCCCTCAAAACCGAAAAAGCATTGAGAGCACGATTATCAGAAGCACAAAGCACAGAAATACAAAACATTTTCACTCCCAGTCGAACCACGTACACAATTATCAATATATGTTTATTCCTTTTTATTGTTTTTCCGCACAAAACAATCCAACAGCAAAGTGAATGACAAAGCACACAGCGCCCACAGAAAGAAAAAGAAACAAGAAAAATTGAGAGAAGCACCAATAGCACAACAATATCACAGAACTCTAGATATGCTAGTGTTTGTATGCAATTAATAAAACAAATAACAATTAATACATTTCTTTTCTCTGCAAAGAACAAAAAAGGGAACCACAAGCAAACAAACAAAAACATATTAACCATTAGCCCAATTTACACAGTAAACACAGAAATATACACACCAACTATGGGTGTAAGGCCACATATGTATATATATACGGAATTATAAATATAAATTCATCTGTTATTATTATTTCCTATTTTCCCACTGCAAAAAACAATTCATCATCATCATCACAGTGCAAGCCCAGGTGCACACACAGAGAGAGTCTCCAAGAACACACACATACAATGGAGTAGCAATAATAATTATTATAGGATAAACACAAAGAGAGCAAAAACAGACACAAAACACACATTAACATTAAGAAAAACAAAAAAAGAAGATATAATCCCAACAGGTGGAAGATTAGTTAGACTGTAGGGATTGCATGCAAAAAAGAAAAAAGAAAACAAAGGATGACCTGAGTCACACCA